GTTGTTCCGGCCGCGACAGGTGATCGGGGTTCTGCGGCCCCCTCCGCGGTTTTGGGTGCGGATTCGAGGGTGTCCGGCCTGTCGGCTTGGCGGACTCGGCCAGGGGCGAAGTGTACGTGTGTTTTGATGGGCCCTTTAAGGTGTGCACTTACAGTCGGAGGTACGGGAGAAGATTTGGAGTGGGGAGTACGTTAATATATTCTCACTCTTGCCTTTGGAGCATTTTCCTTTTGTAAGGGTCCCGGGTTGACGAGAGTAGGCGTGGTGGAAGCGGGAGCAGCGGCGTTTTCGTTTTATATCCGCGTACCTTTGTAAATTGGTTGAAGGCGTTCGCGATCATGGCTAGTGTGCGTGGGGAGTAGGCTTACTGTCGGAGGTACGGGAGAAGATTTGGCAACGTGGGGGAGTACGTTGATATATTCTCACTCTTGCCTTTGGAGCGTTTTCCTTTTGAAGGGTCCCGGTTGACGAGAGTAGGCGGGTGGAAGCGGAGCAGCGGCGTTTTCGTTTTATCCCGCGTACCTTTGTAAATTGGTTGAAGGCGTTCGCGATCATGGCTAGTGTGCGTGGGGAGTAGGCTCCTGAACATTGCTTGGCACTGTTCTGTTACCTTGATGCCATTGGTGAGGCTCACAGGGTTTATGGGGGTACTGCGTGGCTTTGGTACGATGAGCAGTTTAGGCAGCGGAGGGCGGTTCACCAGTCGTTGCGTTGGGGATCATAGGGACATTGGCCTCTGGATGCGGGGACTCATGACACGGCGAGGGCCCCTGGTTCGTTTTTTCAGAGCGGGGCCCGCGGTTCGTTCTCCTCGGGACAATCGGCCTCCAGGCGTCAGGGGTTTCTGCTGGCAGTTCCAAGAGGGGACGTGTCGATTTGGTGGGTCTTGCGTTTTAGGCACGAATGTTCCGGGTGCGGGGGCTCCCATCCCTTGTCGCGCTGTTTCCAGCGGGTCGAGGCCTTCCCGGAGAGCATGCTGGCAAGAGGGACGACTCCGGTGCGAGTGGAAATGATGGGGCCTTTCTTAAAGAGGTATCCTGATCGGGCAGCTGCAGTGCTGCTCACGGGGGGTTTTTCGGAGGGTTTTTTCGCATCCCGTGTACTTTGACTTTGATTCCTCCCTTAGCTCGGAATTTGCGGTGGGCCTTGCGGCATGAGGAGGGGGTTTCGGCTAAGTTGCGTAAGGAAGTGGGGTTGGGACGCATGGGGGGTCCGTTTGCTTGCGCTCCGTTTTTGGATTTGGTTGTTTCTCCCCTTGGGGGTTGTGCCCAAGAAGGAGCCGATGCGTTTAGGTTAAATTCCCCACCTGTCCTTCCCAAAGGGGGGGGTTGGTGAATGATGCTATTGATTCGGAGTCGTGTTCGGTGTCTTACACGTCTTTTCATGCGGCTGTTTTCTGGGTCCGTCAGTATGGGCGCGGTGCACTCATGGCGAAATCGGACGTTGAGTCGCGTTTCGGCTGTTGCCAGTCCATCCGGACAGTTTTCGTTTTTTGGGTTGTCATTGGCAGGGCTATTTTTACGTTGATAAGTGCCTTCCTATGGGGGTTGTTCTATATCTTGCGCTTTGTTCGAGAAGTTCGGTTCATTCGTGGAGGTGGGTGGTGCGGGATGTCCCAGGGGTGAATTCGGTCATCCAATATTTGGGGATGATTTTCTTTGCGTGGTCCGCCGGATTCTGGAGTAATGTGCAGTTTTGCTGGCCACTTTGCAACCACGTTTCGCGGAACGTTTCGGGATTCCTCTGGCGGTGGATAGGACTGTGGGCCCGGCTACGGTGATGACTTTCTTGGGCATTGTTTTGGGATTCCGGCACGATGGAGTGCCGCTTGCCTGAGGGTTAAGCTGGTGGCTCTACAAGGGGAACTCCGTGGGGTGCTGGGGCAAGCGAAAAAAAAATTCAGCTGCGGGCCTTACAGTCGTTGTTGGGCAAAACTTAACTTCGCTTGTCGGATTCTGCCCATGGGTCGGGTGTTCTGGTTGGCGTCGGCGACGGCAGGGATTACCTCCCCTTTTACATTTTATTCGGTTGGCTCGGGATCATCGGGGAGGACTTGCATTTGTGGCACACCTTTTTGGATTTGTTAATGGGCGGGCTCTCTGGATGTCTGGCCCTGTTAGCACTTTTGACTTGGAATGGTTCACGGACGCGGCGGCGTCGGGCGGCTATGGGGCTTTTTCCGGGGTCGATGGAGTGCGGCCTCGTGGCCTGCTTCCTGGCGGGAGGCGGGTTTTCTTTGCAACTTGGTGTTGTTGGTACTTTTTCCGGTGGTGTTTTGGCGGTTGAGGTTTGGGGAGAGAATTTTCGAAATCTAAACGTGCGTTGTCACTGTGACAATTTTGGGGGTGGTTCAGGTCATCAATCGGGTCTCAGCTTCTTCACGACCGGTGGTGGCCTTGCTTCGCCATTTTAGTGTTGCGTTTGTCTGCGTCTGCATGTTTTTATCCATGCGGTGCTGCGTCTCCCTGGGGTTGATAACACCGTGGCTGACGCTTTGTCTCGCTTTCAGTGGGACAAATTCCGAGAGGTGGCGCCGCGGCGGAGCAGCCCGGGGTTCCTTGTCCCGACGGGCTGTGGGAGATTGCCTTGGAGTCCCTTGCGGGCTGGATCCGGCATTCGGGGAGTGAGGCGACTTGGTCTGCATACTCTAGGGTCTGGCGGGAGGGGCTGGATCTGCTACAGCGGGTTGAGATTGATCCCTGGGGGCCGGAGGTGGTTTTGGCGGTATTGTAACTTTGTGGCGCGGAATTTTGGGTTGTAGGCTGCTGCGGTGGATCGCCGAATGGCGGGTTTGGCATTCTTCTTAAGTTGCAAGGGGTTGTCGGGATTTCACTGAAGATTTTTTGGGTTCGGCAGGCTCTCCGGGGTTTACCGGAGCGCTCATCGCTGTAAGGATTCTCGTCGTCCGGTGTCTTTTGAGTTGTTGGGTCTTTGTTTGTGCATTTGTCCGGTCTGTGTGTTCTTCGGACTTTGAGGTGTGCTTTATTTCGGGCGGCTTTTTTGGGGCGTTGCGTATTGGGGAGCTCGTTAGTCCGTCCAAATCGGTTCTTGGGGGGGTTATTGGTGGATGAGGTCAGGTGCTCCGGTGAATGGGTGGAGGTGCTGGTACGTCGGTCTAAGATGGACCAATTGGGGACGTGGTGGTCGGGTGCGTTTTTTCATTCTTCCGGCTTCGCTGGTGTGCCCAGTGCGGGCGGGTTCAGGAATTTTTGTCCCGTCGTCCAGTGGGGCAGGGTGTGTTTTTTTCCCCAGGCCAACGCTGAGCGGGGAGCTGGTGCGAGATGTCCATAGCTGGATTTTCTTCAGTTGCGGGTGGGCTTATCCGGGCGATGGTGGTGGTGTGGTCCGACATTGTCGCCCGTACCTCTTGGCGTTGGGCGCGGTCGGATGTGAGAGGCTCAACAAGGCTCGGATCAAGGTTAACAGAGAGGTGGGGCGTTTCTTTAGTCACCAATGGGGAGTTTGGTGGTCCGGCACTTGGAGTTGGAGGTGGATACTTGGCGGTATCTCAGTGCGGCGATGGGGTGCATTTGAATGCGGTTGGGGCGGATTTATGGTCCCTGGATCTGCAGGATGGCATACAAGCGGGCTGTTCGTTTTGTGTGGCTCGTGGCACGCATGGGGTAAGGGCTTACCCAGCGTGCTGTGGCGGTTGTTGGTTTTGGAGGCGGTTCTTATTTGGAAGGTAAACAACAATGGTTGTGGGACCCATCCGTGGTATGGGATCCCGGGACATTCCCAGCAATAACCAAGGTTTAACTGGAAGGTGGTGGTGCTGCACTGCGTCACGGTATGGTTGTCTCCCGAGCTGGTTGGTTGCGGCTGGAGGCCTAGTGTATATGGTTGTCCGCAGGTGCATTTCGGATCGTTTTGGGGTGTCTTCGAAGACCAACAACAATTCTGTGGGTTTCTGTTATAAGGAATGGTTGGTGTATTGTAACTTGAGTTGTTAATAAAAGGCCATGTTGGCCATTTACTCCAAAATTGGTGTTATGTTTTTTGTTATAGTATAATTGGTTAAGGGGAAGGGGGTTGGCGCGGAACGGTAATGGTGGTAATGGGGAAGTGGACGAGCCTATCTCTGGTGCAATAGTCATGATCGGATCTTTTCAGACAAATCGAGGGCATGTTGCATTTGGTCCTTTCAGTGATAAATTTAACTCATCCAAGATGGCAAAGATGCCAACCAAGTAAGCTATTTTCTGCAGTTCACTTTTATCGCTGAAAAGTGCTTCGAACTGCGGTCTTGCTTTCTGATTAAAAAATGTTTTGAGTTCATCAAGAAGCTCAAAAACACGTTTTAAAAAAAACTTTTCTTCTCGACAACCATCTCTCTTCAGTGTGTGAAATAGCAAGAGCATTGTTTGGCGCATCCAACTCATTGCACAGTTGCGAAAACAGTCGAATGTTTTAACCTCCCTGGCGGTATTCCCGAGTGTAGCTCGGGGTAAAGTTTCATCAGTTCATCAGTTTCATCTGATTTACTATCGCTGTTCTCTAGCTGGTGTAAAACCGCTTTTGACCTAAAGGGACGCTTTTTGGACGCCATGGACGTTTCTCAGTTTCCAGGCAGAAAGAACAGTAAAAATGTAGGCAGGGCGCAGGACAAAGCACTCGGGACAAAATGTATGTGAAATGGTTTGATACAGTAATGTTTTATTATGTAAATTTAGTGAATTTAGTGAATGTCACTTTTAAAGTGTGTAAAAAAACTTTCCCGCTAGTTCCATCCCCCGTACGTCCCGACGTCGCAGGGAACGGAACCCGGAAGATGGATACCGGCATCGGCAGGAGGAGATGGCCGGGGACGCTGCAGGAGGGACATCGCAGGAGCGCAGGACAAGGTAAGTGAAGAAGGGATCCCGGAGCAGAGCTGCAGTGTATTACCGAGTGTAGATCGGGGTAAAGTTTCAGTACCACAAGCAGTGACCCCGAGCTACACTCAGGAATACCCTGCAGCGTTGCTCAGGGATCTCTTCTGCACTTACCTTGTCCCGCGATGTCCCTCCTGCAGTGTCCCCGGCAATGTCCTCCGACCGATGCCGGAATCCGTCTTCTGGGTTCCGTCCCCTGCGATGTTGGGACGTACGGGGGACGGAACGGGGGGAAATTTGAAAATGACAAAAAGTGACATTCACTAAATACACTAAAATCACATAGTATAACATTCCTGTATCAAACCATTAAAACATACATTTTGTCCCGAGTGCTTTGTCCTGTGCCCTGCCTGCATTTTTACTGTTCTTTCTGCATGGAAACTGAGAAATGTCCATGGCGTCCAAAAAGCGTCCCTTTAAGTCAAAAGCGGTTTTAGACCGGATAGAGAACAGCGATAGTAAATCAGAACACTTGCAGAATTGAGTGATAATGATTCGTGGGGGAAATTCCTCATCAAGACACTGAAAATGATTCTGCGATTTTGCTCAGCGATGTGCGAACTTGGCGCTATATTTCAAATTTAAGTGTTTTTGGTTTGATTATATTATTGAATTAAATTTATTATTATTATATTATTATTTTTATATGATTATTTATTAAATTATAATTTATGATTTCGTATTTCAAATTTTAACATCCCCGGGATGTTTACTAGACTCTTGTTCGGACAGATTTCAGTGAGTTATTCCTAAAAATTACACAGCCTACAATAAAAAAAATACATATTTCCATGCAAAAAAAATGTTACCGCTTTGAGCACAGAAATACTGACATAAACAGACCGCTAGGGAGGTTAATATACTTCATGTAAACCAGTAACTGTGAACAGTCTGCAACGTCTGTAGATTCATCAAGCTGGATACTAAATATTGGAAGTGGAGCAGATTTACTTTCCTGGATTACCTGATGAAGAATATCAGCAGACATGTCATCTATTCTTCTGTGGACAGTGTCGTTAGATTAGGAAATTGCATTCAATTTCGTAAAAAAATTCATCTCCAATCATAACTCGAACAATGTCTTTGGCCTCTGGCAACAGTAAATCCCCAGCAATGGTTGTGTGAGGTTTCATAGCTCTGGCAATTCTGAGTGCCACCAAATATGAAGCTTCAACGGCTGCTACGTTTTGTTTGTTGGTACTTTCCACCAGTGTCAAGTCTGGCTTTCTTGAGTCCATCAGCTTTGCTTCTAAAATAGTTGGTATCCTTGCCGGCAAAGCTCGGATGCTTGCTATCAAAATGGCGTTTTAGTTTGTTCGGCTTCATAGATTCGGCTGATAGAACTTCACAACAAATAACACATTGCGGTTTCTCAATTCCTGCTGTAATTATTGAGGTAAAACCATACTGTAGAAAATCCTCACTATATTTTCTTTTCTTAACGTTCTTCTTTACACGATCCATTGTCATGGAATGGTTTGCTAATAAAAATAATATATAACAATAGCTTTAATAATACAAAAGATGATACATGGCATAGTTCAGTCAATACAGTTCATTAAGGTTTCCTATTTACCATTCTCTGTGTTGTTTTTTTTTACATACCTGTTACTATCACAAGGGGGCAGTATTCACATCAACCGCAGCTGAATATAAAAAGACCGATCAGCATCCCGATTAAGTTTCCATGGTACAGATATTTTATTTTTGCAGTAGTTTGATGATTTTACAGTACATGATTTTACATTTATCCAGTAATTATAATTCATGAAGTGTCGTTTTACCTCCAATACTGCTGCTTTCAAACACAGCAGCTGCTCTTTACACATGTGTGACTGGTCCACATAAGTAATACATTATGGTGCCAACCCTGTCACATACACCTGTATTTGTACGGGGTGTATGTGATGGGGGTTAGTGCAATGATGTCATCACGCCGGGTACTCGTATGTGGGCAGATCCACCTGGAGACAGATAGAGGAGAGCGGGCGCTTAATGTCTCTCGGTTCCTAAGACCATCAGTAATATGTTTTCCGATGGTCTTTGGCGACCCCTGTGAAAGAGTCGTTTTCGACCCCCAAAGGGGTCGTGACCCTCAGGTTGAGAACCGCTGTGTTACAGTGTACAGTACATTACTGCACATTGTGTTAGTGTACAATGTGTTAGTATACAATGCGTTAGTGTACAGTGTGTTAGTGTACAATGTGTTAGTGTACAATGCGTTAGTGTGTACAATGTGTTAGTATACAATGCGTTAGTGTACAGTGTGTTATGTATACAATGCGTTAGTGTACAATGCGTTAGTGTACAATGTGTTAGTATACAATGTGTTAGTGTACAGTGTGTTAGTGTACAATGCGTTTAGTGTACAATGTGTTAGTATATACAATGTGTTAGTGTACAGTGTGTTAGTGTACAATGTGTTAGTATACAATGCGTTAGTGTATACAATGTGTTAGTGTACAATGTGTTGTTATATACAATGCAGTTAGTGTACAATGTGTTAGTGTACAATGTGTTAGTATACAATGCGTTAGTGTACAATGTGTTAGTATACAATGTGTTAGTGTACAATGCGTTAGTGTACAATGTGTTAGTATACAATGCGTTAGTGTACAATGCGTTAGTGTACAATGTGTTAGTGTACAATGCGTTAGTGTACAATGTGTTAGTATACAATGCGTTAGTGTACAGTGTGTTAGTGTGTGACAATGTGTTAGTGTACAATGCGTTAGTGTTACAATGTGTTAGTATACAATGCGTTAGTGTACAGTGTGTTAGTATACAATGCGTTAGTGATACAATGCGTTAGTGTACAATGTGTTAGTATACAATGTGTTAGTGTACAGTGTGTTTGTGTACAATGCGTTAGTGTACAATGTGTTAGTAATACAATGTGTTAGTGTACAGTGTGTCTAGGTTAGTGATACAATGTGTTAGTATACAATGCGTTAGTGTACAATGTGTTAGTGTACAATGTGTTGTTATACAATGCGTTAGTGTACAATGTGTTTAGTGTACAATGTGTTAGTATACAATGCGTTAGTGTGTACAATGTGTTAGTTATACAATGTGTTAGTGTTACAATGCGTTAGTGTACAATGTGTTAGTATACAATGCGTTAGTGTACAATGCGTTAGTGTACAATGTGTGTTAGTGTACAATGCGTTAGTGTACAATGTGTTAGTATACAATGCGTTAGTGTACAGTGTGTTAGTGTACAATGTGTTGTTATACAATGTGTTAGTGTACAATGTGTTAGTATACAATGTGGTTAGTGTACAATGCGTTAGTGTACAAATGTGTTAGTGTACAGTGTGTTAGTGTACAATGTGTTAGTATACAATGCGTTAGTGTACAATGTGTTAGTATACAATGCGTTAGTGTACAATGCGTTAGTGTACAGTGTGTTTAGTGTACAATGTGTTGTTATACAATGCGTTAGTGTTACAATGTGTTAGTGTACAATGTGTTAGTATACAATGCAGTTAGTGTACAATGTGTTAGTATACAAATGCGTTAGTGTACAATGCGTTAGTATACAATGCGTTAGTGTACAATGCCGTTAGTTATACAATGTGTTAGTTGTACAATGTGTTTTGTGTAGTGTACAATGCGTTAGTGATACAATGCGTTAGTGTACAATGTGTTAGTGTACAATATGTTAGTATACAATGTGTTAGTATACAATGCTGTTAGCGTTAGTGTACAATGTGTTAGTATACAATGTTGTTAGTGTGTTAGACAATGTCGTTAGTGTACAATGCGTTAGTGTACAATGTGTTAGTGTACAATATGTTAGTTATACACAAGTGTGTTAGTATACAATGTGTTAGTATACAATGCGTTAGTGTACAATGTGTGTTAGTGTACAATGTGTTAGTGTACAATGTGTTAGTGTACAATGCGTTAGTGTACAATGCGTTAGTGTACAATGTGTTAGTGTACAATGTGTTAGTATACAATGTGTTAGTGTACAATGCGTTTAGTGTTACAATGTGTTAGTGTGTGTACAATATGTTAGTTGAATACAAGTGTTAGTATACAATGCGTTAGTATACAATGTGTTAGTGTACAATGTGTTAGTGTACAATGTGTTAGTATACAATGCGTTAGTAGTGTACAATGTGTTAGTATACAATTGTGTTAGTGTTACAATGTGTTAGTGTACAATGCGTTAGGTTAGTGTACAATGCGTTAGTGTACAATGTGTTAGTGTACAATGCGTTTAGTATACAATGTGTTAGTATACACAATGTGTTAGTGTACAATGTGTTAGTGTACAATATGTTAGTATACAATGTGTTAGTGTATACAATGCGTTAGAGTATACAATGTGTTAGTATACAATGTGTTAGTGTACCATTGCGTGTTGACAGTATACAATGTGTTAGTGTACAATGTGTTAGTGGTACAATGTGTTAGTATAATGGTCGTTACGTGATACAATGCGTGATCTGCAATTTGCTGCACGTGTTAGTGCACAATGTGCTAATGTAAAATGCGTCTTGTTGGGTGTACAAGTGCATTAGGTCTACAGTGCCATTAGTGTGTACAATGTGTTAGTGTACAATGTGTTAGTGTAAAATGCGTTTAGTGTACAGTGCGTTAGAGTGTACAGTGGTTAGTCTACAGTGCGTTAGAGTGTACAGTGCGTTTAGAGTGTACAGGGCGTTAGTGTACAGTGCGTTAGTTCTACAGTGCGTTAGAAGTGTTACAGTGCGTTTAGGGTGTTGTACAGTGCCGTTAGGGTGTACATGTGCGTTAGTGTACAGTGCGTTAGAGTGTACAGTGCCGTTAGTGTACAATGTGGTTAGAGTACAATTATTATTATTATACAGTATTTACTATAGCGCCAAAGGGTATGCTCAGCGCTGTTTACAGTAGCAAGGGGGACAGAACATGAGACAAGAACAGTAACCGCAATACAATACACGAGGGGTATTTCGAGGGCCCTGCTCTTTGAGCTATTTACAATCTAGGATGGAGGGGACGGAGTGGTACAGGGAGGAAAGATGGCTGTGGGGGATGGAACGAGTTTTAGATGGAGTCGGTGAGAGGAGTGGAGGAGGGGTCAGTTGTTAGTGTGAGGGTGGGGTAGGCTCCCTGGAAGAGGTGGGTCTTCAGGGTACGCTCTGAAGGTGATGAGGGTAGGTGACAGTCTAATGGATTGGGGGTTAGGGAATTCCAGAGGATGGGGGAAGTCCTGGAGAAAACCTGCAATCGGGCGTGGGAGGAGGAGACCAGGGAGCTAGAAAGAGGAGGAGGTCCTGTGAGGAACGCGAAGGGTCACGGGTAGGTGGTATTTAGGTATCAGGTTGGTTAGGTAGTTTGGGGCGGCGGCTGTTGTGAATACCTTTGTTAGGTCAGGGTTAGCAGTTTGAATTTGATGTGATCGGTGGCAGTGTTTATAGGAGACGCTGAAGGAAGAGGGTCAAGGAGGTTGTTGTCAGTGAGGTGGTGGGCGCTTAGGCGATTGTAGGCCAGGCGCTCAAGGAGCTTGGAAGTGAATGGCAGCAGGGAGATGGGTCTAAGGTTGTTTAGGTCAGTGGGGTCAGGGAGGATTTTTGATAGTGTGGGGGTGATGATGTGCGCGTGCTTTAGAGGGGAGGGGGAAAGTGCAGTGGAGAGGGTGAGAGGGGAGGGGGAGATGTGGGGGGGGAGTGGGGGGCGGGGGGGGAATGGGATGAAGGGGGGGGGGGGATGACGGAGGAGTTGAGGAGGGGGATAGGGTCAGGGGGGGGCAGGTGGTAGGCGGGGCATCAGTGAAGGACTTAGAGGTGTGGGGGCTCAGGGGGGAGCTGGGTTGAAGGAGCGGAGTGTTGGGGAGGTGATAGGTGTGGGGTCGTTAGGAATAGTGGCGGGTTAGAGCTTGGCTATGAGGGTCGGGGGGTGGGTTGGGTGAGGGCGAGAGGTACTGGGTGGAGAGGTAGTAGATTGTGAGTGGTGGCAATGTCTTACGGATTGCGTCCGAGTCTTGTTGGGGAGTAGGAAATGACTGGCAATACTCTGTGGGCGGTGAGTTGAGGTGGCTGATGTGGGGGTGGGGGGGGAGAGAGCAGGGATTTGAAAGTGCAGAAGAGCCGGCGGGGACAGGTGGAAGTAGGGGGTGTTGATAAGGGTTACGAAATTAAGGCTTGCTTGGCGGGTGTGGAGGGAGGTGGTGTAGATGAGGAAGGCGACTTTGTAGAGGGGGGAGTAACGCGCAAGGGGATCTGGTTTGCGACGGGTGTTTCATTGGGGTGGGGGGGGGTGGGGGGTGTGGGGGGGGGGAAGGGTGGAGGTTAGACACCCACAGTTAATCCAGAGGGGGCAAAAAAACCCAGCAAAGCACGATCCAATTTGCTCCTGCAAATTCCTTTCCTGTCCCCCGGAGAGGCAATCGGATATTCCCTGGATCAACTCTACCTAAACATGTTAGTATTCAGTTAATATTCTGTGTATCTAGGAAAGAATCCAGAACTTTTTTTTAAAGAAATTCCACTGAGCTGGCCCAGAACCAACTCTTGAGGGAGTCTATTCCCACATTTTCACAGCTCTTACTGTGAAAAACTTTTCCGTGTTTGGAGGATTAAACTTCTTTTCCTCCAGATGTAAAAAGAGGTGCCCCCTTGTCCTCTGTGATGACCTCGGGGGTGAATAGTTCTACACACGAGTTCACTATATGAACCACTAGATGTATTTATACATGGAGATCATATCCCCCCTTATGTATTATATACATGGAGATCATATCCCCTTATATGGCATTATACATGGTGATTAAACATGGTGATCCCCCCTTATGTTTTATACATTCGGTAGATCAATATCCCCCTTATTATTATAACATGGTGATCATATCCCCCCTTATGTTTGATACATGGTGATCAAGTGCCCCCTCTTATTAATCTTTATACATGGAGATCATATCCCCTTATGTATTATCACATGGAGATTAGCGATATCCCCCCTTATGTATCGCTGCTTACATGGTGTTCATATCCACCCCTTATTGTATTCTTACATGGAGATCATAACCCCCCTTTTTGTATTATACATGGATAGATCATATCCCCTTTATGTATTATACATGGAGATTCATATCCCCCCTTATGTATTAGATTTACATGGTGATCATACTCCCCCCTTTTGTAGGTTATACATGGTGATCATATCCCCCCTTAAGTATTATACACGGAGATCATATCCCCACTTTATTATTATTACACGGAGATATCATATCCCCCCCTTATGTATAATACACGGAGATCATATCACCCCTTATGTATTAGTGGTACATGGAGATCATATCCCCCTTATGTATTAATACATGCTGATCATATCCCCCCTTATGTATTTATACATGCTGATCATTATCCCCCCTTATGTAAAGGATACATTGTTGATTATATGCCCCCTTAATATCTCCTGTTCGCTTGTGATCTACCAGAACCCCCAGATCCTTCTCCACCATTGATTCCCCAGTTGTACCCCCTAGTATGTATGATGCATGCATACTCTTAGCCCCCCTCATTTGCTACATAGTTGCCCAACTAACCCCCCTGGTGGTATTCCTGAGTGTAGTTCGGGGTTAACTTTCAGTACCAGTAGCAGTAACCCCGAGTTACACTCAGGAATACACTTCCAGCATTGCTCTGGGATCCCTGTATCACTTACCTTGTCCTTCGCTCCCGCAATGTCCCTCTGCAGCATCCCCAGCCATGTCCTTCGGCCGATGCCGGCATCCGTCTTCCGGGTTCCGTTCCCTGCGAGCGTCAGGACGTATGGAACGCACGGGGAACGGAACTGGCAGGAAATTCGAAAATGTCAAAATTTTACAAACACATAATACACTAAAGTCACATAGTAAAACATTCCTGTATCAAACCATTTCACATACATACTGTCCCGAGTGCTTTGTCCTGCGCCCTGCCTGCATTTTTACTGTTCTTTTTGCCTGGAAACTGAGAAATGTCCATGGCGTCCAAAAAGCGTCCCTTTAGGTCAAAAGTGGTTTTAGACCGGCTAGAGAACAGCGATAGTAAATCAGAACCACTTGCAGAATTGAGTGATAATGATTTGTGGGGAAATTCATCATCAGACACTGAAAACGATTTTGCGACTTTGCTCAGTGCTGCATAAAAAAAAAGCTACATATTTCCATGCAAAACAATGTACCGCTTTGAGCACAGAAATACTGACACAATCAGACCACTAGGGAGGTTAAACAGTACACTGAGGTCGGCTTGTAAATTGAAGACTGAAATGGGATTTTTAATCCCAGACCCTATATTGTTTATAAATATATGAAAAAGTAAGGGTCCCAACACTGAACCTTGGGGTACACCACTGACACCCCTAGACCATTCAGAGTATGAATCATTAACCACTACTCTCTGATTACCATCTTTTAGCCAGTTGTCCAATTACAATCCAATTACATACAGATTTTTCCAAGCCTGTAGACTTTACCTTACACATTAGCCGTGTGTGGGGAACTGTGTCAAACACTTTTGCAAAATCCAAGTATACCACGTCCACCACCACCCCTCTGTCCAAGTATACCACGTCCACCGCCACCCCTCTGTCTAAATATACCACGTCCACCACCACCCCTCTGTCCAAGTATATTACGTCCACCGCCACCCCTCTGTCTAAATATACCACGTCCACCGCCACCCCTCTGTCCAAGTATACCACGTCCACCGACACCCCTCTGTCTATATATACCACGTCCACCGCCACCCCTCTGTCTAAATATACCTCATCCACCGCCACCCCTCTGTCCAAGTAGATCATGTCCACTGCCACCCCTCTGTCCAAGTATATCATGTCCACCACCACCCCTCTGTCCAAGTATATCACGTCCACCGCCACCTCTCTGTCCAAGTATACCACGTCCACTGCCACCCCTCTGTCCAAGTATATCGTGTCCACCGCCACCTCTCTGTCCAAGTATACCACATCCATTGCCACCCCTCTGTCCAAGTATATCGTGTCCACCGCCACCTCTCTGTCCAAGTATACCACGTCCACTGCCACCCCTCTGTCCAAGTATACCACGTCCACCGCCACTCCTCTGTCAAGGTTTTACTAACCTCATCATAAAAAGAAAATCAGATTTGTTTGACAACTTCTGTCTTTTATGAATCCATGCTGTGTTTAAAAATGTTAAAAATGTGTATTCTCTACCTGTATTTCTGGAAACGCCTGAAAAGTGTATCAAAATGTGCATTGTGCTTGTGGTACTATTACTTCTGAATATCTTAATGGCACATAAAATTTGGGTAGCAATCTCATGTTCTGTTGCCCGTTTGGGCTTGTTCACACTTGGCTGTTTACCAACACTTGCCAAACGCCCCTATAGCGTCCGTATTGCCGCACCGCGTTGCGCCGCGACGTTACCGCTCCCATTAGAACAGCACCATGTGCTGCAATGGGCAGAATTGTCTGAGGAGTTTGGGAAGCGGTAAAAACTTGTTTTCAAACGCCTCTCTGCCGCTTGAAAACAAGGCTAGTGTGAACGTAGCCTTAGTCGGGCAAACAACACGCACTTGGCTCAGTACCAAAAAAACAGGTACATGAGCTACCTCATCCAAGTGAATAGGCTGCCCTTTGCTGTCCTACACCAAACATGGCCCATCACATTGCTCAGGCTTAGTAATACTTTTCACCAATGCCACTGGGCTGCATTGAGGATGGAGTCTGCCATTGACACTCTGGACTCAGTGTTGCCCCCCAAAAGTCCTCTTCAGTTTCCGCTCGAGGTCCCTGCTTCAACTAGGTATTCCCACATTGGCACTGTGCTCTGCTGGCTTGGGGACTCCGAGGCCAGTGGAGTACAGTAAAAATAAATGTAGATCTAAACTTAAAAAAAACAAACAAACCATAAGTAGAGCTATGCACACCATGGCCTAACTTGTATGACTGGATGGACCATGGTACTCACAGAATGACTTTGCGCAGAACAGGTTTAGTGATGACAAACTCTAAATGGAGCTCCCTGACCAAATAAACTGGTCCACCTTAATATGATACAGTTCATTATTAGATTCATGTATTTTAGTTTCATCTTATTTTAATACATTTATTTAAATTTTTTATGTTGTAGATACAGAAAAACATACAGATAGACACAGCTATGTTACAAAACATCTCAAAAATGTTTCAATAGCCACAATGATTTATATGTTTTATATTTCTCCATATGTTACACAAAATAATACAGTGCAGTAAGATGGCTGGGATGGGCTGGAGGAATACATACATTGTGCTGGTCTATTCAATAAAAATAAAAATGTTCAAGTAAAAAAGGACATCAAGCTTAAAGTGCTATGTCTACAGATACAGTGTCACAATTCAATGGATTGGGTGTAAAGAGCACAGACAGACCCAAGCAGATTATTTCAGTACAGCCAACAGGGTGTCATACAGTCATCTAAAGATTCTGAATCATATTCACAAAATAACTAGATGCCATAACACACCTAATACATAATACACCTGATCTAATATATATACAAGAGGTCTTCAAAAAGTGTTCACACTTACATACATATATGCAGTATATGTTAAAAAAAGTGCAGAAACGTTTGAAGAAATAAAGATGGACTGAGCTTCATTGAAACATTGACAATAAAAAACCCCGCTGTTCTTGATCTTCCTCTTCTATTGAACTGTACCGTTTCTGTATTTTCTCCCTTTATATTGTAAAGTGCTGAGCAAACTGTTGGCGCTATATATATTCTGTATAATAATAATATTAAAAAAATAAAATAAATACATTTATATATATATATATATATAATTATCATTATTATTATACAGGATTTATATAGCGCCAACAGTTTGCTCAGCGCTTTACAATATAACGGGAGACGATACAGCAACAATACAGTTCAATACAAAAGGGATTTGAGGGCCTGATCCTTGGAGCTTACAATCTAGGAGGGAGGGGCTAGTGGTTCAAAAGATATTAACTGTGGGGGATGGACTGGTAGGAAGAGTAAAAGATTCCATTATTAGCTGAGGGCAGGATAGGCTTCCCTGAAGAGATAGGTTTTCAGAGATCGCCTAAAAGTGAGCAGAGTAGGTGATAGTCTGATAAATTGGGGTAGAGAGTTCCAGAGGATGGGGGAAGCTCTGGCGAAACCCTGAGACAAGCATGGGAGGAGGAGACAAGGGAGCTAGAGAGTAGGAGGTCTTGCGAGGAGCGGAGAGTACGGTTTGGGTGATATTTAGAGACAAGATCGGTGATGTAATTTGGGGCAGAGTTATAAATGGCTTTATACGTTATTGTTAGTGTTTTGAATTTTATCCATTGGACAATGGGAAGCCAGTGGAGGGATTGGCAGAGAGGGGTGGAGGACACTGAGTGGAGGCCAGTGGAGGGATTGGCAGAGAGGGGTGGAGGACACTGAGTGGAGGCCAGTGGAGGGATTGGCAGAGAGGGGTGGAGGACACTGAGTGGAGGCCAGTGGAGGGATTGGCAGAGAGGGGTGGAGGACACTGAGTGGAGGCCAGTGGAGGGATTGGCAGAGAGGGGTGGAGGACACTGAGTGGAGGCCAGTGGAGGGATTGGCAGAGAGGGGTGGAGGACACTGAGTGGAGGCCAGTGGAGGGATTGGCAGAGAGGGGGTGGCAGATACAGAACGGTTAGTAAGGTGGATGAGTCTGGCAGCAGCATTCATGATAGACTGAGGAGGGGATAGCCTGCGATGAGGTCGGCCAATAAGGAGGGAGTTACAATAGTCAAGGCGAGATATAACCAGGGAGTGAATAAGTTGCTTAGTGGTTTCTGAGGTTAGGAACGGGCGTATCTTGGAGATGTTGTGGAGGTGAAATCTACAAGATTTGGACAGTGATTGGATTTGGGGGAGAAAGGACAGATGGGAGTCTAGGATTACACCTAGTACCCTGGCATGAGGGGAGGGACTGATGGTTGTGTTATTGATCTTGATGGAGAATTCAGGAGAGGGGGCACAGGCTGGGGGGAATACTAAGAGCTCAGTTTGAAAAGATTGAGTTTGAGGAAGTGGAGTGACATCCATGCCGATATGTCACTTAGTAGGTTGGTAATGTGAGAGGAGACTGAAGGGGTGAGGTGAGGAGTAGAAAGATAGATTTTGTGTATCATCAACATAGAGATGGTACTTAAAGCCATGGGAGTTTATCAAGTGACCAAGGGAGGAGGAGTAGATGGAGAAGAGAAGGGGGTCCAAGGACAGAACCTTGAGGGACCCCAACAGAAAGAGGGAGTGAAGAGGAGGAGGCAGCGTTATAGGTAACACTGAAGGAGAGCTGCGATAGGTAGGAGGAGAACCAGGGGAGAGCAGAGTCTCTGAGGCCAAGAGAGTGGAGTTTTTTGAGGAAGAGGCGATGGTCAACCGTATCAAAAGCCGCAGAGAGGTCAAGTAGTAAGTATAATATATTATACAGGATTTATATAGCGCCAACAGTTTGCTCAGCGCTGTATGTTAAAATGTGTTTTTATTACAAAATATATGAAAAATATTTTTAATACATTTCAAATATACTGTATGTCTTTAAAAATACAAATCTACCTTTTTGGAATGCATTTACAAATATATGTAAAAATATATGTTAAAATACCTTTTTTTATATGTTTATAAAAATTTATTGAAATATATTGAATATGGCCAAAATTGTAGCATTTCAAATATATGTAATTTACAAATATATGTAATAATATATGTTAAAATGACTTTTTTTATATGCTAAAAAAAAATCTGAAGAATATATTTTAAAAATATATATATATTTTAATATAGTCTTAAAATGTTTTTTAACATATAAAAAAGTAACTTTAACAAATATTTTTACATATATTTGTAAAAGCATTCCAAAAATGTAGATTTGTATTTTTAAATTTTTTTTCATATATTTGGTAATAAAAACGCATTTTAACATTATATATATATATATATATATATATATATATATATATATAATGTTAAAATGCGTTTTTATTACCAAATATATGAAATTAGAATATCGTGCAAAAGTTCATTTATTTCAGTGATGCAACTTAAAAGGTGAAACTAATATATGAGATAGAATACAGAAATCCCCCTGCGCTCCACAGGAC